TTCTGACTGGTCAGTGAGTATCCTGGACCTGAAGATTGCGCATTTGCCTAAAACTCTGAGTCATGCTATCAACGTGGGATATTATGTTATGTATAATCTCTAATATAAGGACCTCCTTAGTAGGCCTGGCATAGAAATAAATATTATATGGGAGCCACTAAGAAAGTAAGACAAATGACAGCAAGACTCCAACAGTAATAGCTGTAACAAAAAGAAAAAAACTTCAGTGGTTGCAGTCAAGCATAGCATGCAGCAGCAGACAGGTTAGGTTTAAGGCTCCAAGTTCTCCACAGAAAATTGTCCCATAGGACAATAGCTTAGTGGATTAAAACATTGGTACATGAGTTTGGTGACATAGTCAACTATTTTCTATCCTACATATCCTCATAATATACAACTTTTTATACATCCTTACAACAACTTCATTCAGTAACCTTCTACTTTGAGTGACTCTTGAGCCTTGTATTGAGCAAACAATAGTATATATAAAAAGATTTCAAATTAAAAGTAAATGAATAAAAAAAAAACTTGCAATTAAAAGAGTCAACTTTAAATTTTTTTTAAATTACTGAACAAATGTAGATTATGGTGTCTGAGATAGTCATATATTTCTCACTGGTGCTGTTGGTAATCAAATTCAGAATTTTCAATGATGGATTCCAAAACCAACAAACCCTCTTCAATTACAAAATAGGTACAACATGGTCTTAAACTGGGTTAAAAAATGGTGTTGCTACATGTATACAATGTATGTATTCATAAAAATGTGTAAATAAAAAATCTCTAATTTATATTTCATTTAAATTTTTACTTAATATTTGCTTTAATTTATGAATGAATAAACTAAACTAATTCAATTAAATAATTCTTTAAAATGAACAAAATTGTATTCTATGCAAATTTATTTAATTTCTATAAGAATTCAGCAGATTTTGTATGGATTCATATTCTTGTTTCTTTTTCATGATTTTCCTACTCAGTTAATTCTGAACAATTCAGAGAGACAACATTCTAGAATGGAAACAAATAGCCATATATAGATAGCAGTGTAGTGTTACTGACTCATGAAAAGTAGTATGCATTTAACTGCCTCATGGGTAATAGCTGTAGCTATTTATTGTCTTTGTGACTGCATATGTAAATGAGTCACTTCTCATCTCCCTGTACTGAAGAGATTTTATCCCCTTATTTTCCCTTGTACTTTTTCTGGGAGATTTTGTCTCATTATCTTCCTCCTTCTCCCTAAAAGATTATCTAGATATGGAAGATCTTGACCTTTTTCTTTTTTCATTGGAACCTTCTTCCAATGATTGTCCTTGTTTGCCTCCACAGTCTATATTACTCTCATTTTTACTGTCTAGTTCATCTTGCTTTGACATGACACTTACACTTTCATTACTTTCAGGTTCTTTATACATTTCTTCATCATTATCGTATTGCAATGTAACTTGGTCAGTAAGCGCTAAAATTCCATTTCCACTTTTTTTTCTATTATCATAGCATTCTGTCCCTTCTGCATTGTGAATCTTGCCTATAGTAGATTAGATTCACAATTCTTTTTGTACCATTGTTTTTCATAGGACATGGTCAGTAGGGCTCTAATTTGTCTACCCAAGAGGGTGAACAGACTTTTTGATCTTCCAGCCTGTGGTATTGTCCTATAACTTAACAACAATCTTGGCAGAAATGTTTCTATCTTTTCTTTCCATTGTACACACATTTTCAACCTGTTCTATATACTTTGCACCATCATTTCTGCTAATTGCAGATGGTATGGAGAGGTTTTATATGGTTTGCATCCAATTTTGTTCAACCATTGGCATAGTTCTTCATCACAGAACTCTGGGGCACTGTCAGATATTAATTTTTTTGGATTTCCATTTCTTGAAAATATGATCCTTAGCGCTTGTTTCTCAGTTAAACCTCTTTTGTTGGAAACCTGTATTACTTCTAGCCAGCCTGAATACAAATCTACCAGTATTAGTAATAATCCCACTCCATTAACATGAGTATGATCCATGTGTATTCTGTTCAAGGTTGGGACTCTTTAGGCCATGTAAGTGTTTTTATCTATTTAAATTTTCTTCTGACATTGTACATTTTGCATGATTTTATGTATTCTTTTACATTTGTGGAATAGCCTGGCCATCAATTACACCCTTTTCTGCAGTTGTGTTTAACCTCTTTAAAATACCTTTCTGCCTGTGAGCAATTATTCCTTATTTTTTATCCTGAACAACACATACTGTTCAATATGGGATCTCACTTCATATCCTCAGCTAATTTGTCAACAAAAAATCAGATTCGACCTAGTGTAAGAAAGTATCTTAGAATTTTTCCTCCTCTTTCTCACTTTCAGAAGTAATAAACCTCAATCTTGACAAAGCATCTACATGCGGAATGGTATTGCCTTTCATGTACACAATATTGAAGTCAAATGCCATTAACATTAATGCTCATGTTAGAATTCTAGACAATATTACTTTAGGAAGTTCCTTCCTCGAATTAAATATGAATTCTACAGTTGTATGGTCAGACCTTAGTAGGAATTTCATTCCAGTCAAAAACTGATGAGCTCTATTTGTCATTTATATCATAGACAACACTTCTTTCTCGATATTTGAGTAGTTCACTTTGGCTTTTGACAATTTTCTTGAAAGATACATAATAGGATGATGATCCTGAGCTAATATTCCCATAATTGAGTGTTCACTTGCATCAGTTGTAACTATTATTTCTTCTAGGCTCGAATATTTTTACTACTGGTTTCTTTGACAGAACTGCTTTTAAATTTTTAAATGCCACTTCTTCTTTTACCCAAATAAATTCCACATTGTTTTTCTGTCAATTCAGAGTATCACTCTACATATCGTCTGTAGAAATTTATAAGTCCTAAGAAAGATTCCAATTCTTTTTTGTTCTTAGGTACTTCAACTTTGAATATTTTGTCAATTAACACCTAGTTTAGTGATAGGCCTTCGTTAGATACGGAATATCCCAAAAATTATATTTTTTTAGCGTTGTGCACACATTTTTTTTGCATTAATTGTTAATCCAATATTTTTTAAATTATTCAAAACCATACTGATTTTCCATTTCACTTCTTTGCCATTAATAGCACCAATACAAATGACATCTTGGTAGTATATTATATTTTTATATTGCTACCAATAACTTGCTTGCCTTTTGAAAAATTACACTTGCAGTTTTAATTCCATACAGCATTCTTTTCCATTTTAATAAGCCTATTGGCATATTTATTGTTGTGACTTCCTTAAAGTCTTTGTCAATAGGTATTTGATGATATACCAACTTTAGATCAATTTTAGAGAATGTTTTCATACTCACAAGCATTCAAAGCCCATTCTACATTGCGGATAGGATCTGGGTCTGTATATATTTGGGAGTTTACACCTATTTTGTAATCACCACAAATGCACAGATCCCCATCCTTCTTTTTTAAAATTACTAATGGGGAGGACCATTTGCCCCCTCCTGGCAGAATTCATTCAAGTAAATCTTATTCCAGTAATTTTTTAGTTTATCCACAATGATTGGTAGATATACTGGCATTTTTCGTGCTTCAAAATATGAAGCAGGGGACATTTTCTTTTAGTCTTAACTTCATAGATTTTTTTAACATTCCAGTTTCTCCTGCCTTGACAGTTTATTAATTTTTGTTGAATTTATGTTTAACACATTGTTTCCTATTAGCAAATGATTCTTTTCAGAGTTTATGCCATGATAATTGGTAATATGTCAAACTTATTTAAAAATAGTCTAACATTTTTATCATAGATCCATGAAACTGATTCAATTGGGCAAGGCTTTTCTTTAATCTCGATTTTTCTAATTTCTTCCAGAAATTTCTGGATATCAATGTCATGTCACTTCTGGTATCTAGTTACATGTCCAATAAAACATTACTCATTCAAATATTTAATAATCCTTTTCATTTTTTTTTGTTTTTCAATGAAAAGATATTTATATTTATTGCTTCTTCATTTTGTTGGACCATCTCTACATTTTTCTTTTTGGATTTACACATACATTTAAAATGATTCATTTTGAAACACTTTTCACATTTTTTTATATGCCAGACATTTTTGTTTTTCTCTTTGATGTTGATATCTGCAAAAAGTACAGCTTATTTTAACTTTTTTCTTTATGGTGTATATGTCCATTTCCTCTACACATATCTGTAACTTTTGTTCTATTAAATTTTCCCATCAATTCCTTTTACTGAACAAATTCAACATACTGTTCTAGTGACAACTTTCCCAATTGTAAATGCATTAGAGTCATTTGCCAATACTCCTCATTTTGAAGGCCGTTTACCAATTTAATTTGGATCAAATCCTCTTCAACTGACTGGTTTTCTGATCCTAGTTTCTCAAATTCACAATATTTAGCAGCTAGTTTTAAATGAAGAAGATATTCAATAACTGGTTCATTCCCTTTTTGAGAAATGTTCATGAATTTAGCTCTCTCCGCATTCACTAGTTTTTTCTTGGGTACTATGTTTTTCACTATCAGTTGACTTCTATTGTCAAATGTCATTTCCTCTGTCTTGGGTGTGCAATTGCTGATAATTTTATAATGGCCTCACAACCAGTAGTGACCAACAATAGATCAGTTATTTGGTTTTCTCATCCAATTGATTTCAAATCCTTTAGCTTTTTTTTCTAGCTTTAGTTGCTAGTATCCCTGTGTCAAGGGATAATCATTTATTTGGTTCTTTAGATATTGGCAATGCCATTGTAGTGTAGTGTTATTGACTCACAGGAAGTAGTATGCACTCAACTGCCTCATGGATAATAGTTGTAGCTATTTATATTCTTTGTGACTTCATATGAAAATGAGTCACCACATAGATATTTTAAATTTAACAGAAACTTGACTCATTATGACCACATTAACTTTCACAAAATATGTGTTTAGTAATTTTTAATAATACAACTGCTTGATTAATTTCATCCCAAAATCTGCACTTGACTCACCTCTCGTACTCGTATTTTGAAGTAATTCTGTTGATCAGCTTTATATGGAGTTAAGTTTCCAAACATGTCCCTGGTTTCAATGGTCAGAGGATGAGATGTGCCCACAGTACAGACCACAGTTGAACTGTAATTCATAAATCGTGTTTTGCTGGCATCTATGGCTCCTGCAAAAGCAAAGCATAACAACAAGAAAATTTTTAAAAATCCCAGAAAAAATGGGCAAGCAACCAAGTTAAAAATGTCAAATCTTAAATTTAAATTTACAGGGTGTATGGACTGTACTAAAAAAAAAAAACTGATAATAATGCTGCAACAAAAGATCCTTTTAAACAATTAAATTTGGATCCAACTAATACAACTTGTGGCTTCAGAGAGAAAATTCAGATTTGTATACATCACACCAAACTGGTATTAAAACAACACAAAATATGTAGAAGTATACAAAATGGTAAAAAATATTGCCAAGACATTGTCAGTGACTTTTGTTGAGATTACTGTTCTTCTGTTCAGTTCCAGTGTTTGATGAACAGATTTTTCTTGTCCAGCATATATCAAGATTTTTTAAACCACACGGGAATAACATAATAAATAAAATAAATTAAGGACTTTTTCATTCTAATTGAACAATTGCATGGAAAATATTTTAAATTACAGATTCTATCAAGTTTTAGTATTGAAAATTGTTCATTCAAATAAGAATGTGAATGTTTGACTTGGCTACCTCACAATTCTTTGTTAGTTACAATAAAATCTTTGACTCAGTAATGATAAAAAAAAACATTGGTACAATAGTAGATCTTCGTAAATAATTGCCTACCAAAAAGACTTACAAAAAATGATGTTGTTATTTATATTAGTAACAGTCAGATACAATGTCCTCATCTTTGTTGTCTCCACATATCAACCATTGTATTTTATTGCCTTATTTAGGTAACTGTTGATCAGAGTAACCTTCAGAAAAACCTTCAAATTGAATCCTATATTTATTCTACAAGGGTAGATTGTTCTTCTTCTGCTATCCATGTCTAATGGTATCTAATCTTGTTCATTTCAGTTATTGTTTGCCCTGTTTTCCCAAGTCCAAGTCTGTACTATATGGGACAATGGCAGAGTAAATTAAAACATTGGTTTATGTATTTGGTGGCATAGTGATTTTGCAATCCTTGGGCCTGGGGACAAGGAGAGAGGTTGTGCAGACTCGGTGGAAACTAAGCAAGCAATAAGTGAGCAGTACTAAAATAAAACAAGAAGATGTATCTCTAGACATAGCCAGCAGAATGAGAACAATCTACTTCCATAGATTAATAAAGAATTCAGTTTGAATTTCCCTGAAAGTTACCAAGATTAAAAGACTCCTAAAGAAGGTCAGAGGACACAATGGCCGAAATGTTGTGATAATAACAACACAGATTAGGACTTTAGTCTGAATGTAAACTTCTCATCTGAGGAATTCCAACAGAAACAAAATGCATTTAAGAAAATTTCAATGGTAGCAGGATGTTGATATGTCCAATCTCTAATTTCCTTTGTTCTTTTTAAACTTAAAACAATTCTTATTGCTTTTCATTTGCATATACAGCCATGTATATGCAAATGAAGCAAGAAGTTAAAGTTAAATAGATAAATCATAAGATCAATATTTTTGGAAAACTCAAAATTAAAACTAACCTTAAACAAAAAAAAAACAAAGACACTTTACATAGTTGATATTAACTGTTTCTCACAAATATCCTTTGGAAATTAAAAAAATTGACAACCTAACCCACATTCTTTTGTGGATGTAGTAGAGTCTATCTGTGAGAATGTATTTATTTCCTTTACTTATAGCTTTTATTTTTTGCTTATAATATCTAGTTTTGTTTTTAAAAAATTACTTTTTTAATTATCATTAATCATTTAGAAATGGTTAAATTTCAGTAAGAAATAAAAAGTTGGATATTTACTTAAAAAACAAGTTCCAATGTCTTTATAACTTTTCAAATGTTATTTAATGATAGTTCACCAAATACAAGACCATTTAAGGTCAAAGGTTACTGAGGGAAGTTGTAAGGGAGTTAAAGGGAAAGTAAGAATATTATAAGGACAAGTATGATAAATATCAGTTGACCCTGGACTTAATAAAGAGATCAAGATAGTAGTTGTCAGGGAAGCATTCTCTTGGGAGTTTATTCTGTAACAGTTCTGGGGAAGAAGATATCTGAGTGGAACTTGCTTGATAAGAAATATTGACAAATTGCTGCCCGATCTAAATTTTTCACTTGAAAATTGAACCTGGAAAGTAAATGTGATAAAATCAGAAAATGATTTTCAATAGAGAATTAGTATTCAATTTAAAGTGAGCTGAAGTATTCAGAAACGGTCATTCCTGTAGACATTAGGAATCAGCAAAGGATTTCATAAAAAGACGACATCTTGGATTTTATTATATTTTCATTCCCAGTCAAACAGAAATGGAAGCTTGAACTTATGCATGTCTGAGTAATAACGCACATTGTTGCACGTGTGTGCATGTGTGTAAGACTAATGGAGTCTTTTTGGTTTTCCACTGTACTGATTTGATTTATTATGCAAGCTGTAGGCAAAATAACAAGATGGCCACAGTATCTGTTTATTCCTGCTGATGTTAAGTGTTGAGGATAATGCAGAATTGGATGGAGAGGGCCACTAAAAAGATGTGCTGTTGATCTGAATAGTAAACCTATTGAAAATGCTAATTGCAGAGATGCATCTTATAGCAAGGACAAAGATGGCAGCAAATGAAGCCAGAGTCAATATTGTTTTTATTAGCTTAGGGGCTTCACCTTGGCTACATCTCCATCACCTATTCAGTTCTGCAGGCTGAGTAAGCATTTTAGCTATGCCTAATGTGCAGGCTACAATGCATCTTCTTCAAGCTGGGCTCACTTCATCATTTGTGCATAGCAATTTTGGCAGTCAACATTTTTCTTGAGGGCAGACATTCAGTCAGCCTTCAATAAATCTAGGACAGATACTTTTTGTGAGCAAACAAGCATTGATTCTTGTTTGGAGGCGAATATAGATGAAGAAGGAAATGATGCCAGGAAATGATAGTGGATGAGAAAATATAGTTACAGAATCAATTCAAAATGGAAAAGTTGGAGTTAATTTAGTCAGTGATTATAATAAACATTTCACTGACTCTGGTTTATTTTAAAGAATCAAACATGGAATAATAAATATTACCTAAAGAAATGCCAATTTTATCTTTTTAAAACTCTTTGGAAATTTGTTTTTCATGAAGATAGTTGCTTTGCTATTTCTTTGGTTCCTTTTTGTAAGGTTGACATATGGAAAAAAAGGATTATCAAATTCAGGAAGCAACAAGAGAAATAAATTAGAATCATTTAAAGCAGTATGGGTATATTGGGTCAGATAGTTGTCATTTTTATGCATTTTGTGTTATTATTTTCATTAATATGATAGTTATTATAATTTATCAGTTGTATTTAGGTTGGTGCATTGTTAATGATAGAGGCTCATGCCTTGTTTTTTTTCTATTTTATGTAGAGACAAAAGAAAAGATTAACAGTAGTAATATTAAATAAAGCCATAATTTATTTCAAAACAGATTCACAGTTTTAAATCACGCATATATAAGATTGTTTTTTCAAGTGATTCTTGTAACTGTAAAAAATGCGAAAAGGAAACTTGAGGGCATCAGAAAGGACTTAAAATTGTGAAAGGCAAAGATGTTTACAAAAGAAAGGTAAATTTCTGTTGGATTATTCCAAAAGATAAAGACAACGTTATCAGTAATCTTAGGGTTTTAGAATAAAAGGATTTTTTTCATGGCAATGTGAAAACAAGTATCAGATCAAAATGACATTAAAACCTGGCCAAAGTTTATTTCAGACCAAAAAGCAAGAGGTTTGTACAAAAGGGAAGAATAAACTAATAACACATAGTGATTTTGCATTTCAGGCAAAACATTTATTTTTTTTTCCATGTCCAACTTAATTTTCATTAGATTAGCATCTGAACTGAGTATTTGTTGTCCAAAACATCTTTAATTATTTTCTCTTTATTTCTATCTTGATGGACAATCAGTAGCCAATGTGTAAAAATGTATAAACACTTGATTCTGAAGAGAGCTCCAGAGCAGAAAGAGAGATTCTATTGATTCTACGACACTGAGCAGACAATCAGGCAATTGTTGACAAATATTACAGGTGGCTAAAAGAGAAATACTATTTCTCATATAATTGAGCCAAAAGATTATTTAAGAAAACCAAAAGTAGCAAGAAAGAGAAAATACTTAAACAGTTATTCCTTAACCAAAAAAGAAAGCAAGGACATGGGTAACAAGATTAAGTAAAAAATGTCATATCTGGTGGCATATATGATAACAAGGTTTCTAAGATACTTCTTTCTATTTCAAATGTTCAGACAAGGTACAAGCTCTGCAAGTTCTCCACTGCCTTAACCAGGTATTGAACTCACACTCTTTGGGTCCTGTCACTGGATCTAACCAACACCTTTATCCACTGTACCATGTGTCCTTGTGTATGACTTTTTGGGTATTATAAACCTAATGTCTTCAGCATCAATTTTTCCAGTGCTTATATTGCAATTTTTGTTGTTGTTATCGCTTTTCTCTGGCACTCCTTATTACTGGTTCCCATATTGTATTCATTTCTATGCTAGGTTGGCTCAGGAGATTTTTGTAGCCTAGCATATGTGCTGATTCCTTAAGTTTACAAATTTTCCAATTGTGTTCTTTCTCTATGATCTCAACCTGATCCCACAGGGGGTGGTTAAGGAAGTGGAGAACTTGGAGAAGGGAATTAACAGGAGATAACTGATAACTGACATCCATTAAACATGGCATGTGGAACTAGAACTGTCTACCTCAGTGAGTGAAATAAAGGGTTCAGTTTGACATTCCAACCACCTGAAGAAGGCCGAAGCATACAACGGCCAAAATGTTGTAATAAATATGGTGACAAAGATGAGGACTATAGTCTGAATAATGTAAATAGTCAACATTCTACTGTCCAATTTATGAATTTACCCTGCAGTGCAAAACAAGTAAAATAAAGCTAATAAAATTGTTTTGTGTAGCTGCTGATGCTGATGAAGATGATGATACTACATTGATTTTATTTGTTACTTTT